TAAGGCCATATGAGCTCTTTCATAACTTCACAGAAGCATAAATTCAATGCCAACATTAATAGTCTTAAAGCAATGTCAAAAGATAGAGGATAACTAGGACCTGAATTGAGGTAAGTATTGCAGCTACATCATAAATTGGGCTCCATTGATTTTGTAAAATGTCCAAGCATATGCTTCCATCTGCGTAAACTAAAATGGGCAAGGAAAAGGGGCTCAGAACTGAAAATTACTGAAGTAAATGAACTAGTCAAAAGCAAATAGTACTTATTCTCTTGCAGATACACTGATCCATTGGAAGAAACTAAGAAACAATATTGAAAACCAAGAACAAACACAACCACTTGGAATGATTGTGTAAGCCATGTGATTTTAATATCATCTTGAAAAAATAAATTAAGAATTTATCTTTGATAATATTAGTAAACTTATTAATCACATTTTATGATCGTTATTAGACCACTCATAAACATTCATTCTTATAAATTTTACACTTAAAATATTCAATCTTCAATATAAAAAAAATCAAAAATCTCACATCAACTAATAATATAATGAAATTAGTATGTATATAAGAAATGAATAATCAAAATCTCACATTAACTACTAATATAACGAAATTAGTATGTATAAGAAATGAATAATCATTATCCTATATACTAATATCTTAAAATTTAGAGTTTTTATGCATGTTGTTAAAACCTTTTGAACCAAAATTCATCTCTAACATTGTAATATTAGATGTAGTTGACCCTTAGACGTATATTAAAAAGAAGGGACCCCGCTAAGCAAGAGCAAGAAGTGTAGGAGCATCACCCATCTACGCCGATTTGCCTAAAAAGTAAAAAATAAAAGAAAACGTGTGGGTGTGGGTGCTATGAGAATTGAGAAAGACCCTCTCAATTTGGATTTTCTATTTCCACTCTTAAATTAAATCTCTGTCCTTCATGCCACACCCCACAGTTTGAAAACATCGTCAAAGCAAAACATAAACCCACAATCAGCAAGGAAATCACAAACCCTTCCTACACTAGTATTATTATACTTCAAATTACTTGGTCATCAAAACAAAAATACTATTTTATTTCGAAATTATATTCACGTTTTATACCAGCTTGTCAAACAAATGAAGAAGTACATAATAAGGAATAATCTATTTCATTAATTCAAATCGACAAATAATCATAAAATTATTTCATACATTAATTTAAATTAATAAAATGAAATATTAAATATTTTTTAATTTTTTTAAAATTTTTAAATTTGATCCATGCATTAAAAATTTTAAATTCAATTATTAAATCGTTGAAATTTGATGTAGAACATGAATTATTGAATAAAATAAATTTAAGTAGACTTACTCCCAGAGTAAACGGATCCCTCCTTATATATATATATATATATATATATATGTTGGAGAGGTATTTTTTT